TGGCGAGACAGAACTTGTGGCTAGACAGACAGAACTTTTGGCGAGACAGACATAACTTGTGGCGAGACAGACAGAACTTGTGGCGAGAGAGAACTTGTGGCAAGACAGACAGAACTTGTGGCGAGACAGACAGAACTTGTGGCGAGACAGAACTTGTGGCGAGGCAGACAGAACTTGTGGCAGGACAGACAGAACTTGTGGCGAGACAGACAGAACTTGTGGCGAGACAGACAGAACTTGTGGCGAGACAGAACTTGTGGCGAGACAGAACTTGTGGCGAGACAGACAGAACTTGTGGCGAGACAGACAGAACTTGTGGCGAGACAGAACTTGTGGCGAGACAGACAGAACTTGTGGCGAGACAGACAGAACTTGTGGCGAGACAGATAGAACTTGTGGCGAGACAGACAGAACTTGTGGCGAGACAGACAGAACTTGTGGCGAGACAGACAGAACTTGTGGCGAGACAGACAGAACTTGTGGCGAGACAGAACTTGTGACGAGACAGACAGAACTTTTGGCGAGACAGACATAACTTGTGGCGAGACAGACAGAACTTGTGGCGAGACAGACAGAACTTGTGGCGAGACAGAACTTGTGGCGAGACAGATAGAACTTGTGGCGAGACAGACAGAACTTTTGGCGAGACAGATAGAACTTGTGGCGAGACAGACAGAACTTGTGGCGAGACAGACAGAACTTGTGGCGAGACAGAACTTGTGTTGAGACAGACAGAACTTGTGGCGAGACAGACAGAACTTGTGGCGAGACAGACAGAACTTGTGGCGAGACAGACAGAACTTGTGGCGAGACAGACAGAACTTGTGGCGAGACAGAAAGAACTTGTGGCGAGACAGAACTTGTGGCGAGACAGACAGAACTTGTGGCGAGACAGACAGAACTTGTGGCAAGACAGACAGAACTTGTGGCGAGACAGACAGAACTTGTGGCGAGACAGAACTTGTGGCTAGACAGACAGAACTTTTGGCGCGACAGACAGAACTTGTGGCGAGACAGACAGAACTTGTGGCGAGACAGACAGAACTTGTGGCGAGACAGATAGAACTTGTGGCGAGACAGAACTTGTGGCGAGACAGACAGAACTTGTGGCGAGACAGACAGAACTTGTGGCAAGACAGACAGAACTTGTGGCGAGACAGACAGAACTTGTGGCGAGACAGAACTTGTGGCTAGACAGACAGAACTTTTGGCGCGACAGACAGAACTTGTGGCGAGACAGACAGAACTTGTGGCGAGACAGACAGAACTTGTGGCGAGACAGATAGAACTTGTGGCTAGACAGACAGAACTTGTGGCGAGACAGATAGAACTTGTGGCGAGACAGACAGAACTTGTGGCGAGACAGAACTTGTGGCGAGACAGACAGAACTTGTGGCGAGACAGACAGAACTTGTGGCGAGACAGACAGAACTTGTGGCGAGACAGAACTTGTGGCGAGACAGACAGAACTTGTGGCGAGACAGACAGAACTTGTGGCGAGACAGACAGAACTTGTGGCGAGACAGACAGAACTTGTGGCGAGACAGAACTTGTGGCGAGACAGACAGAACTTGTGGCGAGACAAACAGAACTTGTGGCGAGACAGACAGAACTTGTGGCGAGACAGACAGAACTTGTGGCGAGACAGACAGAACTTGTGGCGAGACAGACAGAACTTGTGGCGAGACAGACAGAACTTGTGGCGAGACAGACAGAACTTGTGGCAAGACAGACAGAACTTGTGGCGAGACAGATAGAACTTGTGGCGAGACAGACAGAACTTGTGGCGAGACAGAACGTGTGGCGAGACAGATAGAACTTGTGGCGAGACAGAACTTGTGGCGAGACAGAACGTGTGGCGAGACAGACAGAACTTGAGGCGAGACAGATAGAACTTGTGGCGAGACAGAACGTGTGGCGAGACAGACAGAACGTGTGGCGAGACAGACAGAACTTGTGGCGAGACAGACAGAACGTGTGGCGAGACAGATAGAACTTGTGGCGAGACAGAACGTGTGGCGAGACAGAACTTGTGGCGAGACAGATAGAACTTGTGGCGAGACAGACAGAACTTGGGGCGAGACAGACAGAACGTGTGGCGAGACAGACAGAACTTTTGGCGAGACAGACAGAACTTGTGGCGAGACAGACAGAACTTGTGGCGAGACAGAACTTGTGGCGAGACAGAACTTGTGGCGAGACAGAACTTGTGGCGAGACAGACAGAACTTGTGGCGAGACAGAACTTGTGGCGAGACAGAACTTGTGGCGAGACAGACAGAACTTGTGGCGAGACAGACAGAACTTGTGGCGAGACAGACCAATTCTGTAGCGAGATAGACAAACGTAAGCCGCCAAGCTTAAAGCGACCGGCAGACGTGAGACAAAAACCAGACGAAGCTTGCTGGGATCATAGCAAATGTTTAGAGCCAGGATTACCTTCTCCTGAAAATATTTACAAACTATTTATAGAACAAGGGGAACGACTCCATCAAGAAAAAGCTGTAAGACGTTTTTACTGTAACTTGATGGCGTGGTGTAAAGAAGGCTGCGTTCGATGTGATCACATGAGGGCCAGAGTTATCGATCTTACAGTCAAATTGTTGATCGTTCTAATGGAGAGCAGGGGAAGCAATCTCAGACCATGCATGCCGCGAGTCTAAGGGACGCAATCAGACACCATACACTGCAAGGAATCTTAAGGACACAATCATACACTTAATATGTCAGAAGTTAGGGGAGGTAATTATATACTATACATGTAATACGTCTAAGTGAGGCAATCAAACATAATACAAGTCATAAAACATCGCGAGGTTATCATACTCTGTATATGTCAAACATAGGAGTCAATCACACACGGTACATGACACACGTCTAAGTCAATCACACACATCACTCGTCTAGTTCAATCACACACAATACACGTGTAAGTCTATCACACACAATACAAGGAGAAAACTGACTCCACCCAACATTTCGCAATAGTTAGACCGAGTCAGGTTCTCTTGGCTTAGCTGGTCCGACGAAGACAAAGTGTCAAAGTAACAGTTGCCCCACAGCTGTGGTGGACCACTAAGACTTGTGTGAGCTGATTGATCGGCCCACAACTGTGGTGGGCCACTAAGACTTGTGTGAGCTGATTGGCCCACAGCTGTGGTGGACCACTAAGACTTGTGTGAGCTGATTGGCCCACAACTGTGGTGGACCACTAAGACTTGTGTGAGCTGATAGGCCCACAACTGTGGTGGACCACTAAGACTTGTGTGAGCTGATAGGCCCACAACTGTGGTGGACCACTAAGACTTGTGTGAGCTGATTGGAATGTGATCCCCCGGTCAGCTGTGCACGCGCGCACAACACGTGCTGTTGTTTTAGCTCACCTACAGCTGCAGTAGATTCGTCAGGCGGGAGATTAACACATGTGTCGTTAGTCATTAGACGTGTGTATGTGAAATTCATTTGTTTCTATGTGTGTGTATGTGTAATTCATTTGTTTCTATTTGTGTGTGTATGTGTAATTGATTTGTTTCTATTTGTGTATGTGTGTGTAATTCATTTGTTTCTATGTGTGTATGTGTAATTCATTTGTTTCTATGTGTGTGTATGTGTAATTCATTTGTTTCTATTTGTGTGTGTATGTGTAATTCATTTGTTTCTATGTGTGTGTATGTGTAATTAATTTGTTTCTATGTGTGTGTATGTGTAATTCATTTGTTTCTATTTGTGTGTGTATGTGTAATTCATTTGTTTCTATGTGTGTGTATGTGTAATTCATTTGTTTCTATTTGTATGTGTAATTCATTTGTTTCTATTTGTGTTTATGTGTAATGCATTTGTTTCTATGTTTGTGTATGTGTAATTCATATGTTTCTATGTGTGTGTATGTGTAATTCATATGTTTCTATGTGTGTGTATGTGTAATTCATTTGTTTCTCTGTGTGTGTATGTGTAATTCATATGTTTCTATGTGTGTGTATGTGTAATTCATTTGTTTCTATGTGTGTGTATGTGTAATTCATTTGTTTCTATGTGTGTGTATGTGTAATTCATTTGTTTCTATGTGTGTGTATGTGTAATTCATATGTTTCTATGTGTGTATGTGTAATTCATTTGTTTCTATGTGTGTGTGTATGTGTAATTCATTTGTTTCTATGTGTGTGTATGTGTAATTCATATGTTTCTATGTGTGTATGTGTAATTCATTTGTTTCTATGTGTGTGTGTATGTGTAATTCATTTGTTTCTATATGTGTGTATGTGTAATTCATTTGTTTCTATGTGTGTGTATGTGTAATTTATTTGTTTCTATTTGTGTGTATGTGTAATTCATTTGTTTTCAATTGTGTGTATGTGTAATTCGTTTGTTTCTATGTGTGTGTATGTGTAATTTATTTGTTTCTATTTCTGTGTGTGTAATTCATTCGTTTCTATTTGTGTGCGTATGTGTTTAATTAAATATGAGTACACTAATGCATGTATAAGTGTGTTTTACTAAACGTATAAGGAATTTGTATATGTGTATGTTTATGTTCGTACTGTCATTTAAAATAAGACTAATGAGTGTTCGTATTTGTGTATTTAAGTATTATGTATGTAACGTAAGTATGCATCTATGTATGTACGTATGTAAGCAAAGCAAATCTGAATAAATGTCTGTAATTAACTCACATAAAAAATCCGACTTTTTGCCGATAAAAAACTACCGGCCATTTGAACCGCCCCCAATATTATTGCTCTGCTTGGCAAATCTGTTGGTACAACTACGTCACAAGTCAGTCGAAAAGTATGAAACACCGTACAAGCCATTTTACACTGAAATATGAATGAGAAAGAAAAACGTAACAAAATGCTATGGAGTCAAAAACTATAACAGGTAAGTTCATCGGCAGTAAAAACATAACAAAGCTGTTCTATTAAAATTACATTTTAAATATCCTACCATTTACTGAAAAAGGAGTGTTCTTTGCCTGCACGTGTTTCCATACTTTCCCCTGTGATATGTACTTGGTATAGAACTGAATTCTACAGTTGTACATCTGTGTGAGAGCAGGGGAGGTTTGCTGCTGTGGTTTCAGGTGGTTGACTGGTGAGGTAAGGAGAGATACTTGTAGCTAGTGGTTAGGTGGCTACGTGTGGTTGTGTGTGGTTAGGTGGCTACATGTGGTTGTATGTGGTTAGGTGGCTACGTGTGGTTGTATATGGTTAGGTGGCTACGTGTGGTTGTATATGGTTAGGTGGCTACGTGTGGTTGTATGTGGTTAGGTGGCTACGTGTGGTTGTGTGTGGTTAGGTGGCTACATGTGGTTGTATGTGGTTAGGTGGCTACGTGTGGTTGTATATGGTTAGGTGGCTACGTGTGGTTGTATATGGTTAGGTGGCTACGTGTGGTTGTATGTGGTTAGGTGGCTACGTGTGGTTGTATTTGAAGAGTTGGCTACGTGTGATTGTATGTGGTTAGGTGGCTACGTGTGGTTGTATGTGGTTAGGTGGCTACGTGTGGTTGTATGTGGTTAGGTGGCTACGTGTGGTTGTATATGGTTAGGTGGCTACGTGTGGTTGTATGTGGTTAGGTGGCTACGTGTGGTTGTATGTGATTATGTGGATACGTGTGGTTGTATGTGGTTAGGTGGCTACGTGTGGTTGTGAGTGTGGTTAGGTGTGGTTAGGTGTGGTTAGGTGTGGTTAGGTGTGGTGGTTAGATTAGTGGTTTAACAACTGTTGTACCTCTTACAGTTATACATGGTCGTGTAGTAGAAATAAATTATTGCTTGGCTTATATCTAAAAAATATACGTGTATTGTATATTTTTTATATGTATACATGATTGAAGCTGCTCATATATTGCTTATATATAATGCTGTTTTATAATAAGTACTTGTAATGAAAGTATAAATTATCAGTCCTCTATAGTCAATACATAGAAGTGCTGCCTATATATAGTAGTGCTGCGTATGATCCTGGAAATTGAACAGTGTAGCAGAAATACTTTCAATTTTCGACCATTGTCTAAATAGTTTACACGTAACCACTTAGTCAACTGCGCGACTTGTTTCTATTTTTACAACAAGACGATTATAATCTAGCCAAGTACACAACGACACCTGTACACATGTACACAGTTAAGAGTTCGCGGTATACACATATCTCAGCAGCTTTCATCATTGTATCGTTATGTATGTATCTGTGTTTTTTTATCGTGCGTGTTTGTGTTTGTGTGTTTTGTATCGTGCGTGTTTGTGTTGTGTGTGCTCAAAAATTGATCACACGGATGGTAACCAGAAAAAAATTAAAACCCATCCATAATTTACAGAACTATAAGACGGTATAAAAATCTACCTACACGCGGTATAAAAATCGACCTACACGACGGTATAAAAATCTACCTACACGACGGTATAAAAATCTACCTACACGACGGTATAAAAATCTACCTACACGACGGTATAAAAATCTACCTACACACGGTATAAAAATCTACCTACACGACGGTATAAAAATCTACCTACACACGGTATAAAAATCTACCTACACACGGTATAAAAATCTACCTACACGACGGTATAAAAATCTACCTACACACGGTATAAAAATCTACCTACACACGGTATAAAAATCTACCTACACGACGGTATAAAAATCTACCTACACACGGTATAAAAATCTACCTACACACGGTATAAAAATCTACCTACACGACGGTATAAAAATCTACCTACACACGGTATAAAAATCTACCTACACACGGTATAAAAATCTATCTACACGACGGTATAAAAATCTACCTACACACGGTATAAAAATCTACCTACACACGGTATAAAAATCTACCTACACGACGGTATAAAAATCTACCTACACACGGTATAAAAATCTACCTACACACGGTATAAAAATCTACCTACACGACGGTATAAAAATCTACCTACACACGGTATAAAAATCTACCTACACACGGTATAAAAATCTACCTACACATGGTATAAAAATCTATCTACACGACGGTATAAAAATCTACCTACACACGGTATAAAATCTACCTACACGCGGTATAAAAATCTACCTACACACGGTATAAAAATCTACCTACACGCGGTATAAAAATCTACCTACACACGGTATAAAAATCTACCTACACACAGTATAAAAATATACCTACACGCGGTATAAAAATCTACCTACACGCGGTATAAAAATCTACCTACACGCGGTATAAAAATCTACCTACACACGGTATAAAAATCTACCTACACGCGGTATAAAAATCTACCTACACGCGGTATAAAAATCTACCTACACGCGGTATAAAAATCTACCTACACGCGGTATAAAAATCTACCTACACGACGGTATAAAAATCTACCTACACACGGTATAAAAATCTACCTACACACGGTATAAAAATCTACCTACACGACGGTATAAAAATCTACCTACACACGGTATAAAAATCTACCTACACACGGTATAAAAATCTATCTACACGACGGTATAAAAATCTACCTACACACGGTATAAAAATCTACCTACACACGGTATAAAAATCTACCTACACGCGGTATAAAAATCTACCTACACGCGGTATAAAAATCTACCTACACGCGGTATAAAAATCTACCTACACGACGGTATAAAAATCTACCTACACACGGTATAAAAATCTACCTACACACGGTATAAAAATCTACCTACACGACGGTATAAAAATCTACCTACACACGGTATAAAAATCTACCTACACACGGTATAAAAATCTATCTACACGACGGTATAAAAATCTACCTACACACGGTATAAAAATCTACCTACACACGGTATAAAAATCTACCTACACGACGGTATAAAAATCTACCTACACACGGTATAAAAATCTACCTACACACGGTATAAAAATCTACCTACACGACGGTATAAAAATCTACCTACACACGGTATAAAAATCTACCTACACACGGTATAAAAATCTACCTACACACGGTATAAAAATCTATCTACACGACGGTATAAAAATCTACCTACACACGGTATAAAATCTACCTACACGCGGTATAAAAATCTACCTACACACGGTATAAAAATCTACCTACACGCGGTATAAAAATCTACCTACACACGGTATAAAAATCTACCTACACACAGTATAAAAATCTACCTACACGCGGTATAAAAATCTACCTACACGCGGTATAAAAATCTACCTACACGCGGTATAAAAATCTACCTACACACGGTATAAAAATCTACCTACACGCGGTATAAAAATCTACCTACACGCGGTATAAAAATCTACCTACACGCGGTATAAAAATCTACCTACACGCGGTATAAAAATCTACCTACACGACGGTATAAAAATCTACCTACACGACGGTATAAAAATCTACCTACACGACGGTATAAAAATCTACCTACACGACGGTATAAAAATCTACCTACACGACGGTATAAAAATCTACCTACACGACGGTATAAAAATCTACCTACACGCGGTATAAAAATCTACCTACACACCTACTAAATCCGCTCTAACCCCACCCATGACGTGAGCAGTAAAAAAACCTCATTTATTTGCCAGCTGTGCTAGGCAAGCATTGCTCGGTATAGAACATGTTGGTGGCTCTCTGTTACAGTGGGTAGGTCTTTGTATTACAGTTGGTGGGTCTTTGTTATAGTGGGTAGGTCTTTGTTATAGTGGGTAGGTCTTTGTTATAGTGGGTAGGTCTTTGTTATAGTGGGTAGGTCTTTGTTATAGTGGGTAGGTCTTTGTTATAGTGGGTAGGTCTTTGTTACAGTGGGTAGGTCTTTGTATTACAGTTGGTTGTGTGTGGGTCTTTGTTTTACAGTTGGTTGTGTGTGGGTCTTTGTTTTACAGTTGGTTGTGTGTGGGTCTTTGTTTTACAGTTGGTTGTGTGTGGGTCTTTGTTTTACAGTTGGTTGTGTGTGGGTCTTTGTTTTACAGTTGGTTGTGTGTGGGTCTTTGTTTTACAGTTGGTTGTGTGTGGGTCTTTGTTTTACAGTTGGTTGTGTGTGGGTCTTTGTTTTACAGTTGGTTGTGTGTGGGTCTTTGTTTTACAGTTGGTTGTGTGTGTTGACTCTTGTTGTGTTATTCAGTGTAAACTATGTAGCCTATGTTACGCGAGTGACACCATGTCTTACTGTGAGTGAGTGAGTGAGTGAGTGAGTGAGTGAGTGAATGAGTGAGTGAGTCAACGAACGAGTTGATTCAGCGAGGTCATCACCACATTCATGAGCAGAATATTTATGACGTCATAGTTGTGTTTTCCTGTTTATGGTTGCATCAGTTGATATTTAATGTCTTACTTTGATTGGTTGGTTGACATTGTGAAACAGGGCATTACTATGTGTGTGTGAGAATATATGAGTGAGTGAATAACTGAGTTGGTAAATGTGTGAGTAAATAAATGAGTGAATGAATGTGATTATGAGAGTGAGTGAGTGAGTGAGTGAGTGAGTGAGTGAGTGAGTGAGTGAGTGAGTGAGTGAGTGAGTGAGTGAGTGAGTGAGTGAGTGAGTGAGTGAGTGAGTGAGTGAGTGAGTGAGTGAGTGAGTGAGTGAGTGAGTGAGTGAGTGAGTGAGTGAGTGAGTGAGTGAGTGAGTGAGTGAGTGAGTGAGTGAGTGAGTGAGTGAGTGAGTGAGTGAGTGAGTGAGTGAGTGAGTGAGTGAGTGAGTGAGTGAGTGAGTGAGTGAGTGAGTGAGTGAGTGAGTGAGTGAGTGAGTGAGTGAGTGAGTGAGTGAGTGAGTGAGTGAGTGAGTGAGTGAGTGAGTGAGTGAGTGAGTGAGTGAGTGAGTGAGTGAGTGAGTGAGTGAGTGAGTGAGTGAGTGAGTGAGTGAGTGAGTGAGTGAGTGAGTGAGTGAGTGAGTGAGTGAGTGAGTGAGTGAGTGAGTGAGTGAGTGAGTGAGTGAGTGAGTGAGTGAGTGAGTGAGTGAGTGAGTGAGTGAGTGAGTGAGTGAGTGAGTGAGTGAGTGAGTGAGTGAGTGAGTGAGTGAGTGAGTGAGTGAGTGAGTGAGTGAGTGAGTGAGTGAGTGAGTGAGTGAGTGAGTGAGTGAGTGAGTGAGTGAGTGAGTGAGTGAGT